GTGATCTGCCTGTTTACAGCCTCCCAAGAGCTGGGATTACAGGTGCTTGCCGCCATGCCCAGTCTCAATTGCCATCTCAACATGCCCTAGGGGCAGGGCCAGCAGGTAGGCCTGGGGCTTGAGGCCCTGGCCCCTGACCCTGCTTGCAGGCGCTTTAATCTGCTGAGCTATTTGGCAGGCTTCTTTTCAAAAAAAATTTTTTTAAATAACTTTTTACTGGTACATTTTAAGAATATATAATAATCTAATGATTGGGCTGGCCAGATAACTCAGCAAACTAAAGTGCTTAGGCAGGCACATGGACCAGGTTCAATCCCCAGTGTGCTGTGCCAGCTTTACCCCCAGGGCACAATGAGATGGTGACCGAGACTGGGTGTGGTGGCTCATGCCTCCCAGAGCTTGGGAGGCCAAAAGCAGGAGGATCACTACGAGTCCAATCTGTATAGTGAGACCCTATAGACCCTGTACTAAATACATTTAAAAAAATCTAATGATCACATTTATTATAGAGACTTTGTATCTGTACCTCTATGACTTGATTTTTTTCCCCATTCACCTACCTGCCACTCAACTATTCTTCTCCTCCTTATTTGCAAAAGTTTTGTTTCCATTTTTCCTTTTTTTTTTCCTTTTTTTTTCTCTCTACTTCCTTTCTCTCTCCTCCTCCTTAGGTCCCTTCCCCCATTTGAATATATTCTTCCATTTTACAATATCTATTATACATTTTGATCTTTATTTACACTTTGGTTTCTCACATCAGAAAAAAAAAAGTGACATTTACAGATGTATATCCAATTGATTTCACTTAAAAGTATGATCTCAATGTGTACCCATTTACCTAGAAATGTCTTGAGTTTATCCTTCTTATGGCAAAGTACTACTCCACTGTATAAAGACTCACATCTTCTTCATCCATCCATCAGTTGATGGGCATTTGGGCTGCTGCTAAGATTTAGCTATTATATAACTGAACTGCTATAAACATGGGTGCACATATATTGCTGTGCTATGATGCTTTTAATTCTTTTGGAATGATACCAAGAAGGGGAATAGCTGGGCTGAATGGTAACTCTAGTCCTAGCTTTTTGAGTAATCTTCACATTGATTTTCACAGTATTTACACCAATCTAGACTCCTACCAACAATCGAGGAGTATTCTTTTTTTCTCCACAGCTCTGCCAGCATTTTGTTATTGGTTCAAAAAAAAATCAGGAGCTGGTGAGATGGCTCAGTGGTCTAAAGCACCTACTTGGAACAAGCTTGGCAAAGCACAGGGACCGTGGTTCAATCCCCCAGCACCACATGCCAGCCA